ACAGCAGAAATGGTGGCTTCGTAGTTGTAGCGATTAAATGCTCTGTATAGAGGTTGATGTTTTTACTCCATTTTCACTACCTGTTCACAGTCATGATACTGAATTAGGTAGTCACAGGCGGCAATTAGGAGGGCTATCAAGAATTAATTGAGCACTTATCTTCTTCTGAAGATATCGAGAGGTCTAATCTGTTCATGTTGAAGCAGGTAGTGATCGGCAGAAGTTTGATGATTTTCTTCTCAAGATAAACAAGGCACTTTCTTATGTTCAGTTTGAGTTGAGGGGATGCAGAAACCAATATGACGGTCAAGTTTATTATGGAGTTGTCAATAATGTTTCCGACGAAGAATCCAAGCTTGGAACAAAATATTCAGTCGCTCAGATTGCTTTCTATAAGGCCATTGTAAGTCTGAAAACATTTGTGTTTTTTTTTTTTCCGAGCGTTTTGAAAATGTAAAAGCTATTATTACTGGCTTTTCATGGTCAATTGAGTTAATGAAGGGAAGAAATAAGGCAGGTTGTCTGATACTCAGAATTTATCTTACTTATCTAGAACAAAATGTTAATTCTTTGAGATATACCCTATTCATTGTACTATCTTGCTATGGGTTTCAGCAGAATGATCAGAGTCCCTTGTAGCCATTAACTACCATTTTATTGTGAATGCCATTTGTTTGAAGTAAGCATTGTCGTACATGCGCAGTAAAGGTAGAGAATAAACCCATTGCATGAATGGAAAATGATGATTATGACTGCTTTGTAGAATGAAAAACAAGACTAAGGAGTAATCGAATATTGCTTTCCGTTGGTCTTGCAATATATAGTCTGCTAAGTTTAGGTTTAGTTTTTGGTAGTTAAACTGGAAACTAATGATCAGACGAAGCTAGAGTTAAACTGGAAACTATCAGAGAAGCCCTGAGAAAGACAAAGAACTAAGACTGTATTTGGTTTTACCCCTATGATGTAGATGAAAAGAAAATGAAAACAAAATACAAAAAAGAGAATCTTCTTGCATTGGTGGTGGCTAAGAATTGATTGGTAACTCTTGTTTTTGTTTACATTATAGTTTTGTGTGTAGAAGACTTCCAATAACCACAATTTTTTATGGGGACCATAAAAACTTTGTAAACAGCACATATTTCAATGACTAAGTTATTATTTCTTTTAAAAGATTTTTCGTTTCCAACCAAAAGCAAATCTGTACTTATGGTAATCTAGGGCATATCTCGCCATTATGAATTTCTAAACTGTTTTCTGTTTTGTTTAACATGGCATTCTTCTGTCCTATACTTGTATTTGTTATGGTGAATGGTGAATTAAGTTTTATCATGTTGTAATTCATCCAGAATTTACTCCTTTCTTTCTCTCTGTAGCCAATTTTGAAGAACAATCAAGACTATTAAATTGTTCCTTTGTTATGTTGTAGTATTAGGGATGTCATAATAGAAAATCGATGATGGTTAGACTATTTTAGAAACTCAAGAAAAAAGCACCTGGAGATCCTGTTGACCATTAGCTTACCAGAGACCTAGCTTAATTACAAACACTCAGCAAGTATATGGAATTTTGTTAGGCCCTCTTGCTAATTAAATTTCTGTCTGTGTATAAGATTTAGTAACTTCAAAATCAGTGGTCTCTATTTAAAAAATAACAAATATTAATCAACACATAACCCTTAAGTTCTAGTGGATTTGGCCTCAATGGCTTGTGATCATCTTTACTGCAAGTGGCATAGGAGCGGGGACAAATCAACCCAGAAGCTCTTAACCTTGAGTTCTATCACATACAGTACAGGAATGGGTGTATACAAAGACATGCTGAGCGTAATCTCTTTAGTTTCTATCTACATTAAGTGCACAGTCACGTGCAAATTCAAATATGTGTGCGGGGGCAAGCACATGCACATATGCATGTGTGAAAAAAAAAGACATTCAGGATTCACAAGAGTTTGTTCATTAAGGATGAACAAGAAGCTAGCCCGGTCAATATTGTCATTTGAGTATATAAATGGTTGAACTCCAGCTTAGATGCTTGATAATAGGTGGTCCTTGACTTTAAAGAAAAAGAAGAGAAGCTAGATTTCTTTTGAAGTTGTGTAGTTTTATACTTAAATAACTACATTCATATTATCTTGTTCTTTTCTTTTGATGTTATTTTGATATTAAATATCAGATAGAAGCAATAGTGCAGGATGCTGCAGCTCAAGGAACCATATCTAACATTGATGCTCTTAATCTAAGATTAGAGAATCAGGTATGTCTATTTTTTCTTAATAATAAAAGCTCTATTTCCTGCATGCTTAGTCTTTCTTGAAGAAGTTGGGGTTCCACCATAAGACCAATTGGCAATATAGGGAGTAGCCCAACTATTTATAAGCACATGCAAGGTCCCTCCTCTCATCAATGTGGGATTCTTTCTCAACATTTCTTTGCATCAATCTTTTGTATACCACCACTGTAAACCAGTAATCAAATGACAGAGTTATACTTAATGGCTTTAGGCCTTCTCATTTATCCTCCAGATTCAATACGATAAAGGTCTTGTTTTATTTTCTTCAAACATCATTTGTTTTGCCCATTTTCAGAGAAAAAATATAAGAGTACCCCTGGCATAGGTATGTTGTTAAGACTTTTAACCGATGTGAACATGCGAGTGACACTCACCATAGTTATTTAAAGAACGGACAGAAAGCAATCTTTGATGCTGAGAAATTTGAGTCAAAGGGTTATTCTATTCCACCTCTTAGAAAGAAAAGAAATTAAATCAAAATACTTAATAGCATGGGGATACATTTATACAAAACTTGAAAAGGAAACACTTATTTTAGGAAAAGGTTATTAACTCGTTCATGCACTTATTTACTTGATAATTTTTGTGGTCTATTTTTAGGTTCTCATGGGTTCAATGTCGCAATCAGAAGGAGGTCTACCTCATGTGCCTCCTGCACTAAAGAATTTCTCAATATCTCAGAAGGAGAAAACTCTTGATGAACTTGTACGGGACCAATGGCTTAGCTTAACCCCAGATAATTATATTGGACTTGGTATCAGATCCTTCCTTGACCTGCGAAGTTGGTTTCGTAATAATGAAGTTCCGCCATGTGAAGTGTGCAATGAAGCCGGGGTGAAGGTCGGCCTAAAGTTTCAAAAACTTCATCACTTTTTTAGCATTGCCAAATTGTTCATCCCACTGCATTACTATTCCGCCTTCTTTCCTTTTATCAGCATTTTGTTTCTTGCTCTAGGATATCGAGTAACAAGAGTAAAAATAGAATTACATAACAAGATTATGGGACATGGGATTCTTATGTTATTAAATAAATTGACTACTTTGATTTGTTAATCGTTTGCTGAAGCTGTTGAATCGGATAATTTGCTGGATTCTGTTTGACAGGCAGTGTTGTGCGAAAAAGACGGATGTAGCGTTCGAATTCATCAGTATTGTGCGAAGAAAATGTCTTTGCAAAAGAAGGTATTGATTTACTTATAGTAAAAATGAAGAGAGTTGTAGTATCGAGTTAATCTAATCAATGAGTTTCAGGGCGGAAGAGTTTGTCCAAGTTGTGGTACTCAATGGCAATATACAGTAACCAAAGCAGAAGCTGTAGAAGAAGAGCCAGATAACCCTACCGAGAGCCAGCCACCCGTTGGACCCAAGAAAAAGAGGCTGCGAAGAAATGAAATTGGCGATGGAGATGTAGCTGAATGCGGCTCCTCTCAAGCATCCTTACCTGGTGGTCCTACTCCGAGAAGATCCAGTCGAAACTCAATCCGCCTTAAGTAATTTGGTTTCAAGTTGCGGGTACAGTGGCATGTATTGTATGTTCTTCTTCGAACAATCTTGAGTTATTGGAAAAGGTGACGGAAGTACAAACGTAGGATTGATTAGACTTAAGGCAATGCTGTAGAAATCTGGCATGGTAAAAGTTAGTAGGATTGTTTCGTCTAGTGCATTGCCCCTTACTGCGTAACTTGCTTTCAAGGATGACCAAGTTCATCACAAGATATTCATTCGCTCTGCGTTTTGGTTTCGGATGCTTAATAGCGAGTAAAATTATGATGATTATAATTTACGTAGATTAAAGTAGTTTAAAATATCATTTTATTAAAATACGTTTATATTTGCGGTTCGGCTTTATAGCTAAATTTAGCCTACCATGCTCAATATGTGGTAGAAACGTACATCAGAGAAGCAGAAGCAGAAGTTGCATCAACGTACATCAGAGAAGCAGAAGCAGAAGTTGCATCACATAGTTTATGGAGAAACGCTGTATGCCGATCCGTCTTCACGAAGTCAAGAGAACCATTCAGCACATTGCCAAGAAAACAGACAGTTTCGGGCATCATCGCCAGAATAAGTGCTGGGGCCGGAGGCCAAGCGATCATTACTGCAAATGAGCGGTTGCGATGGTGGAGATAACCATTGCCCCGTGTTGAGGAGATGACTTGGTTGACCTTGTACAAGACACCGAGGCATTGCTAACACAACTGTCTACCATGGAGCAGAGGTGCTGTGTGGTTTCTGTTGTAGGGGTGATTTGGAAATGAGGTGCTTAAAAAAAGATCACCCATGAAAAAAAACTGTGAGGGTTTTAGATGTTTGGTAAACTAAAAAACAAGGGCTTACTTTGGAAGTTGCTGTAAGAATAAGCTGAAATCAAAGGAAAAAGCTGAAGCAGCTATTTGCAACTTTGAAAAATTGGCTTTTTTTTCAAAGCGCACGGAGCTACAGTGCTCCTTTAATGAAAAGACCCACTATCAGACTTTTTTTTTTCCAAAAGCACTCTTACAAAAAAATTTACCAAACACTCTACTGATTTATTTCACAGCCGCTTATTCTCACAGCAGCTTTTTTTCAAAGCACAGAAGAAAGATTGCAGCACCTGAAGATGCTCATCTTGGGATTCGCGATTTTCGTGTTCAAGAAGTATGAAGCATCATCATGCTACACCCAATCAATATTTTTTTGGCATAGAGATAGGAAGGCAGGGTTTCAAGAAGTAGATGCAGAGTTGGTAACGTGCTCAAATTAATGTTCACAATAAAAATACAGATTTCAAATTCATCATGAATATGAATGGACATATAGAAAACAAATGAGAAAGAAATAAAACAAAAAACAGAAAGATGTGATGATTACCTAGGTACACGGGTGATTATATACCGTCCCTTCTCTAAATCGTATATAGTCTTTATTTGTGGTTTCCGGGATTGCAGTACAAAGAATACAGCAAACACAGCTATTAAAAGGAAAGCAAAGAAAGAGAAATAAGTGACTGACTCGTTTCCAACAATCTGGCCCATATTATCAAGTTCCCATTCAAGGGGCTCCAGCATTGTTTCAACAAGGAAAGCACCCAGTGTCCAATCAAGGAGAATGTTTCCGGTCTCATTTGCATATCCAACCCTGAAATGCGGTCCATCTTACAATTTTCAGTTCAAGGGAAGCTACATCATAATCTTTAATCTTAGTGTTGTATAGGGTAGAAAGTAGCATTAAATACGAATAGCTCTACAAAACGCAGTAAATCAAGTTGAAAGACATGCACAGTGCATATGAAAGTCTTCAACATTGTTATTGAAATACTCGTGTCGACACCAAAAATATGGGCTGTATAGCTCATAGCATTTCCGTCAGATTTTTAGTTGACTCATCTGATCTAATAGATATATAAAGAGGTATAGCACCAGATTTTCACCACATACCTTTTCTCATCCATGGGGATTCCTAGTCTGTCATGCAACAGCGCCACCATATATGCAGATGAAAAACAATATTTCAACAGATCTGAATCAACAATGCTATGATGCTGCTTTTTCTGTTTCTCCCAATCATCTTCACAATAATGTTGACCTGCTGCCTCTAATTCAAACAAAGAAGCCGTCGGCACCAGCCCAAAAAGCTGTACAAGGTTGAAGAGGAAGTCCCAGATTAACAACTGATAAGAGACAAGATTAACAAGTGATAGAGACAAGACATCAAGCGAAAAATATGCAAGCTAAACAAAAACAAAACTAGAACTAATACGTGAAATAAAAAGATTTTAGTTATCTTTACGTGTCCTTACTCGTTACACTTCAAGGTAGATTTAAGTGAAATCAAGTTTACAACATCCTTTGAACGTAACAATACCTTGCAAGCATTATGAAAACAGGCACTTCATGAAAGAAAAAACCTTTGGGCCACATGCTCCTATAAATTGTCAATTCACATTTATGAACCTGGGTATGCTCAGTTGCCAATATACTTGGTCGAAGGTAACCGTTGATATATTTAATGAATGCACGCTGGTACCTAGTTGGAACATGTTTCTAATATTTGGCAATCCTTAACCAATTCTACAACATCAATACTTTCCTAGAACCTAGAGTGATAAGAACATTGAGGTTAGCTAAGCTAATCTCTGGAAAGGGAAAACGTTTCAGTAATTAAAATGCCCAAATACGTTTCAGTAATTTGATCCAAAATGTGAATACACCTGTACTAATACAACTGGAAAGACCATACTATTAGGCCTAATTACTATCTTACAACTAACACCTGTACTCAAAACAGAAGTGAGGGCCTTGTGCTAAAATGTAAAAGCAGTAACCCACATAGAACAACACTCAGGCACGTCAGAAAGCCAAATCTCTCAGAGTCCCTAATATTTTACAGTTTACACGGTACTTACTCCAAAATTTATAGGCCTCGATTGCTTGACAAGCTCCATTGAGATTTAAACATTTCTTTTGAGTTTTCCCAAATTTACCATTGGAATTTAGGCTCCTTGACAACTTTAGAGATTTGCTGCATTTCAAGTGGAGTTCATAAATTAAGGAACCGGAGATATCTGGCAGTGGGAAGCATTAGCATATGATTTGTGCAAGCAAGGTATCTAATTCTAATTCAAGGGAATTGTTTTTGCTAGCACTCTCACTGAAATCATTGACTTGCTGGAAGATAAGGCCTGAAGGGCATTGAAAACCTCACAAGTGACACTGATTATTCAAGTATCTTACTGTGATTGAGCAGCTCTTAAACTTTTAAATTCCTATTGTTTTTTTCCTTTTCAAGACCTAGTCAGAGTAACTTGACTAATTCCTGAGAAAGTGCAGTCCTTAGTGCCACTCCACATACTTACAAGATAAATATCTTGATTCCCGGGGGTGCACACAATGAGCTATGTTGCTTGCAAATGCTACACTCAGACCCAAGTCAATTAGGCTTTTCTACAAACAGAACTTGCTTAGGCTCGCTTGCCAGGGGCCTTCCTAGCTTCTGCATAACACGAACAGATGGAAGTATTGCCGAGGGGCCTTCCTAGCTCAGCCCACTTATGGCATCTGAAAGTAAATAGGTTGTGCATGCAATTTTCTAATAAGCTAGGTTCAAACTTGAGGGTCAACACTCAAGTTGAGCTCAACCTAGCAGGGTCAGATTAAATGGGCCATAAATTTGTACACAGGCCCAAACTCGGGCTAACGCTTCCTAAAGCATCTTGAAACTAAACCAGAGAAGCCCTCAAATAACCCCTCTGATTGAAAATGAGCCTGTATTTGGCTAAATTGCATATATGAAGTCTGTGCAACTTGGGCCTGATTCCACTTTAGTTCCTGTATTTTCCGTTCAAACTATTGTACCCTTATAGTTTTGGTATGTTGTGTTGTGTAAGTGGCTATAAAATCACATTTCCATCAAGTTAATTGACAGAAATGGTACATATTCGTTAATCCCTATAATACCTATAAAACATTTCAGAAAGTTACAATTTCAATAATGAAATCCCTATCGCCCTTTCTAAATATTGTTTGCAAAGTTCCCTATCGCCCTTTCTAATTGTTGTTTGCAAAGTTCAACACAAGTTGCTTGTAGAAAGATGTTACTTCTCATGGTCAGTTTCATTTGGGTCCAAACGTATTTTCAATATTAGGATCCGATCAGTTTTTTATACTACTATGTATTGAAAAGTCAAACTAAAACACCCAAACAGACTGAAAAAATTACACTAAATGCCACACCACTTTGTTTTCTATCAAAGTGGGCAAAGGTTGGCTAATCCAAAAGGCACGAAACTGGTTGACTTGTGACCTAAAACTATAAAACATAAAGCAATATTGGTAGAAATAAAACAAGATCATTGCATTCCCAAATTTCACAAAAGTTTATCTGATCATAACAATTTTTTTATACGTATCTAAAGCTCTAACCAAGATTTATAGGTTGTTTAACACCAGATCTATAACTGAACACTCATGCTAAACTAGATTTTAAAAAAGAAAATAAATTAATCTCTTTATTTACTAACCTCAGAAGTAAATAAGAAGTTCTGGGTAGAAACGGGCTTGCCTCGTAACTCAAAAGGAAAGGATGAGACAATTTTGCAAGGTGCACCAATGCATTTATCTGCATTTTATAAAGAGCAGCTATTAATGATCATCTTTTATTCATACAATTAACTTAGAATCTCAAAAACCAATGAGCTGTAACTTCACAGTATATCAAACAGACATTCCCTAACACTAACAGAATGATTATGTAAACAAAAAAGTCCTAAGAAAATAAAACTGGTAAAAGAGCAGAATACCAAAGTTTATGTCTATGAATAACCTAGGTAGATATTACTATAAAACTTATCAATAAGCAGGAAGTAAAATCTCTTTCTAAAGCCTGATTACGTCATGTTGTCAACCCACGACATAGAGATGTATTCCTTTATTGTGTCAGTATTTTATTCCAATCCAATAGATCACTATGGTCATTTGCAATTGAATTCTGCATCAATCACGAATAGTTTTCTACATGCAACATCATGTTGAAATTCTCTTCCTAGAAAAGAGTTCTTTCCTAGATCCTTGATGTTTATTTCACTTAACACTGAAGTCAAGCTTCCAACTTACTCCCTTTTGAGGAGACTTCGTTATCAAGACTTCTATTGTGGCAACTTGCTCCCTTTTGAGGAGACTTCGTTATCAAGACTTCTATTGTGGTATAACGGGCATTATTAGTTTATTGGGTAAAGTACAAAAAACTACCTCAACTATTGGTGTCACAACACTTTCATACCTCATCTTTTATTGGGCATTATTAGTTTTTTGTACTTTACCATGGTTTATTTTAAAAATGGATACCAGCACAAGAAAATTGAATTTCAAATGAAAAGGAAAATCAGAAACGCATGACAACGAAGGAGCAGAAGATGATGCTACCTTGTCTTTTGTTTAATAATGCCAAAGCCTCAGATTTGCATGCAGAAAAGTTTCCACCCATTGAGGAAACTAGAAGTTGTGCATCACTAGCATTCACTGTCAGCTTATATCCTCTAGGAATACAAGGGTTACCAAGACTTCTCTCCATAGAATTTGAAACTGCATGACAGGTGAGTACACTTTCACACAATCAGCAACAGTTTTTAACTTTTTATAACAGAAAGATTGAAAGTGCATGAGACATGGTTGTTTCAAATCCACCAAGATACTGCATTTTAAGATTTGCTTCATATCTAAGTACTTATACTAAACAACAATGCATAAGTAGGTATGGCCATAAAGATCAGCAGGAATCCCAGACAACAAAGCAGTGGATGCAAGGTAGTCAAACTTTAGGAGTGTGGATACAGTAATAATCCGAGTTTTTTAAAGTATTAACAAAAAGTTCTTTAGCATCGTAATCTAGTAATGGTCAAAAATGACCTAAACCATTCCTACATATTCTTCTCTAAGTAACAACTGTGTTCAAGTCATGCTACATGTTGAGAATATCGCATTTAAGAATGGGAAAAACCTCCGGAAATCGAAAAACAAATAACAAGATAAATAACACCAAGAATTTACGTGGTTCGCCTACATCAACGGGACAGCAACAACAATCTTTCACTACATCAATAATGAGTACAACCAATAATCTTGCCAAATCTCTAGAACTAGGACTTGACGAAAAACCTGAAAGAACAAGAACAAGAAATACACTATCTCTCACACACTTTACAATATTCTCTCACTCTAATCCCTTGAGTGGTATACAATTTAATGTTTTGCTCCCTTCCCAATATTCTCTCACTCTAACCCAGGCTTCTAGAAACCACACTAAGCTCAATAAATTAAAAAACTAGTCAAGAATATTCTGCTTTGAACATTGAACTACTAGGAAATGGTGTGGGGAGCTTTAAAATAATGTCGAATACTACAGTGTGCCACTGATACTTTAGTAACACTAAACTAAAGTTGTTCTTTTTTATTGTAAAAAAAAGTAAGAAAAATGCAAACCAATGGTGTGAATGGAACCAAAAACCACAACCAGTTGGAATTCATGCAACATATATAATCATAATAATATAACTATAGTTGTTCAAAGTACCATGAAATCAACTTTTATCACATGGTATCATAAAAGAGAAAGGCCAATAAATCATACAAGGCGTCAACTCTCTGGACTTCTGCAACTCATATAGTGATTCCCAAGCTGCATCCTGTATCAAAAAATTAAAAAAAAAAAAAAAGAGTTGTTGGAACATTTGATTGAGAATTTTCCACTGTATTCTCGAAACATTGCCGCCATGGTGAAGTAACTTAAGTTTAAGCTTGGAAAAATTCATAAAGCATTAGAAAAATAAATACAGGGCATACTTTTGTTATGAAATTCTTTTGCTTTATGAAGAAAATAGAGTTTGATTATCCATTAGCCATCCTTCCCTATTTTCCGAGAAAAAAGCTTAATCAAAACTACAGGTAACTTTAATGTAATTGACATTCATAACATTTTATATCCATAGTGAAAGTCACCCCATGTTTAACATATGATGGTTCAGATCAGAGTTAATTAATAGATAAAAATCACATGACCAGTGAATGAGAATCTACCTCGACTTTTAAAAGATAAACCAAGAACTAGTTAGACATAGATATAGATTAAGCATACAAAGCGCATAAAGTTGAAAACAGTACAAGTTGAGCTAATTATGCTGACATTGATCCCAATTTTCATGCATAACTTCATCAACAGTAAAAAAAACCACAAACAAACGGAGCTCATATAAAAGACCTGGCCAAATAGCGGCAAGCCTTTACTGTAAAGGTGGTAAGTAACTCCAAACAATTTGATGATTCGAGATGGGGAGGAATTCACTTGTCGTGATTGTTTTGCAGCAAACGTAACCTGCACGGTCATACATTATTAACACAACAAAAATGAAATAAAAGTAGAAACACAGAAATGATGTAGTAGTTGGTTTCGAATCAAATCCAATGAAAGTAAAGTGTAAACCTGCAAAGAAGTCCCACCAAGTTCAACAACCCCAGTGGTTTCCTGAGGCTCACTCGTCAAAGTTCCAAGGGCATAATTGGCACTCACCCAGGCATAAACACCTTGTTCCTCACCTGCCATTTGCACCAATTTTCAGTTCAATTTCAACCCCAAACTTCAATCTAATTAACTAAATTACAGAGGATTCTATGGTAACCTGGAATGAATCGGGCCCACTCGTCCTTGAACCAAAACCCGGACGACCTGAGCGCCTTCCGGCACGACTCGAGAAGCTTCTCGGAGACGTCAGAGCCGAGGCCGTCGAGCTCAGAGCCAGAAAAGAAGAGGAGCTTGGTGTTGGGGCGCTCTTTCTTGGGCACCTGGAGGGTGGCGAAGCGGAGCAAGGGGGCGAGGGAGGGGCCGGCGCGGTCGGGGTGGGAGGCGAAGGCGGAGAGGGGGAGGCGGGAGGAGGAGGAGCTGGAGGGGGCGGTGCCGTCGAGGAAGTGGAAGACGCGGATGCGGATGGAGGAGGGGCGGGCGGAGATGACGATGCCGAAGAGGGTGGAGTGGGAGTGGGCGAATTTGGGGGAGAGGTGGAGTTTGTGGGCGGTGGAGAGGAGGTAGAAGACGAAAGGGAGGGCGAGGAGTGAGAGGGAGGGGATGAGGCATTTGGAGGGAAGGCGATTGCTGCGGACGGAGGCGCTGCCAGTGCCAAACCCACTGGGCGGCGGTCTCTTTGATTGGGATTGTGATTTGATTTGGATTTGGAGGGTTGACAAATCCATCGGCAGCCACATTTGATTCGAGTTTTGGCCCTTCCTTTCTTGCCTACCCTTGCCTACATTTGCAATGGAAGTGCACACGGACAGTGTGTCAGATTGTTTCAAAATTATCGGGTAAAGTAAAAAAAAACTACCTCAATTGGTGTCACGACACTTTCATACCTCATCTTTTAAAATTAAAAATATCATACCTCAACTTACGAATTTGTGACAATGTCATACCTCCGTCAATTTTTCTGTTAATTTCTCAGTTAATTGCTGACTTGGCTTAATTCGGGACCCACTTTCTATTAAAAAATTATTAAAAACTAAAAAAAATCATTTAATATTTTTTAAATATTAAAATAATAAAGAAGGTTATTAAAAAAAAAAAAAAACCAAACAAAACTCCCCCCCCGCGCTCTCTCTCTTCTCCCCCATCTTCATCTCCTTTCATCTTCTTCCTACCTACTGCAACCCAGAAAAAAAAAATAAAAATTTGTTCCTTACCCCCCCCAGGCGCCCTCTCTCTTCTCCCCCATCTTCTTCTTCTTTCCTGTTCTTCCCCCCTATTTGCTGCAACCCAGACAGAAAATAAAAATAAATAAATAAAATAAAAACAACAAACAAACAAAACTCCCTCCCCCCGGCACCCTCTCTCTTCTCCCCCATCTTCATCTTCTTTCCTCTTCTTCCCCCTATTTGCTGCAACCAAAAAAAAAAAAAAAACAAACAAACAAAACTCCCCCCCCGCCCAACTTGCAGAAGAAGATGAGAGAGAAGGAAAAAAAAAAGGTCCCTTGCTACAACCCATAAAAAAGAAAAAAAAAACAAACAAACAAACAAAACTGCCCCCCTTCCCCCCCGCCCAACTTGCAGAAGAAGAAGAGAGAGAAGGAAAAGAAAAAAAAAAGGTCCCTCCCCCCCAACCTGCAGAAGAAGAAGAGAGAGAAGGAAAAGAAAAAAAAAAGGTCCCTGCCCCCCCCCGCGTGCCCACCCTTTTCCCTCCACATCCATTCCCCCCATTTTCTCTGCGCCCAAGTTCTCAACGAGATTTGGGTTTTTTTATTTTTTATTTTTTGGGTTGCAGGTATTGGGTGCGAGGTTGGGTGCAGATGGTGGGTAGGTTGGGTGCGGATAGTGGGTGCGGTGAGAAGAGGGGGTGGGGAGCGGGGAAGACAAATTGAATTTTTTTTTTTTCTAGGTTGAAGTTGCAGGAAGGTTGAAGAAGAAGAAGATGGGGAGAAGAGAGAGAAGGGGGGAAGGGGACGAATTGATGTTGGTTTTTTTTTTTTTTTTTTTTTTTTTTTTTTTTAATAACTTTTTATTATTATTTTAATATTTAAAAAATATTAAATGATTTTTTAATAATTTTTTAATAGAAAATGGGTCACGGATCAAGCCACGTCATCAATTAACAGAAAAACTGACGGAGGTATGACATTGGCACAAATTCGTAAGATGATGTATGACATTGTCAATTTTAAAAGATGAGGTATGAAAGTGTCGTGACACCAATAGTTGAGGTAGTTTTTTGTACTTTACCCAAAATTATTTCATATTTGCCAATTATTTAGGGATTTGCAAATGCAATTGGACAATGATGGTTTTATACAGGAATTGTTATTGCCATTCCAAAAATCTCATTTGATATTCCAAATTTTCTATAATTAGAAAGAAAAATACACTTGTGAAGAGTGTGAATGAGATTTTTGGAGTGCCAATAACACTTTCCTTTATATATATATATATATATATATTTTTTTTTTTTTTTTAAATTTTTTAATTTTTTAATTTTTTATGTTGCAGTACTATTAGATTATAAATGTGATTGTGTAAATCCTAGTGTATATAGGTGTTGGTCCTAAAATCTACCAAGCCTACGTGGCGCGCAGGCCGAGTATTTTCTAAGCTAACTACGTCCTTCGGTGATTGCGGGGCGTGCCAACTCGTCGGCCGAGGCTCGGCCGAGGAGTAAATTTGATGATGCTGCGTTGGGTCGCGCTACTGACTTCTGCGTCTTGCGATTGCGGCCGAGAAAGGAACGCGTCTCGGCCTCTTGGGTTCTCGAGCCTGAAGACAAGGCTGCTATTCCTTACAAAGTTCACGAACCGAATTCGGCTTACAATGTGCCGAATGTAATAACTGTAACACCTCACCTCGCCGAGAAGGCTAATGAGATGACCTCGACCAACAAGGATTCGAAAACCCTTCTCGACCGAGACTTGGATAGGCAATCGACCGTTCTTGCCGCAGTGCTGTTGATGCCAACGGAAGATACTGCGAGACCGACCGACTCTACGGTGACAGAGCTATCTATGCCGACTTAAGATATCACCGGTTGCTTCCACAGTGCTGTTGATGCCAACGGAAGATGTGTCAGCGAAAAAGGAAAAGAAAAAGATCTCAAGTTGTGAGAGTTTGCGCAGGGCAATTTTGTATTGATTTTTGTGTCTTGCGATTGCGGCCGAGGAAGGAACAATTCTCGGCCTCTTGGGTTCTAGAGCCTGAAGACAAGGCTGCTAATTTGCGAAGTTCAATCTCAAATTCGGCTGTCAATGTGCCGAATACAGTAACCTGGTAACACCCCACTTCGCCGAGAAGGCTGATGAGATGACCTCGACCAATGAGGATTCGGAAATCCTTCTCGACCGAGACTTGGATAGGTAACCAGTCGTCCTCGCCGTAGTAGTGCTGTTGATGCCAACGGAAGATGCTGCGAGATCGGCTGATTCTACGGTGACAGAGCTATCTATGCCGACTTAAGATATCACCGGTTGCCTTCACAGTGCTGTTGATGCCAACGGAAGATGTGTTGGCGAAAAAAGAAAATAAAAAATCTCAAGGTGTTGAGAAAGTTTGCGCAGGGCAGTTTTGTGTGTGTTGGAGGTCCTCTTGAATGATGCACAGCCTCCTCTATTTATAGCACTAGATACCTTTGAAGTCGAGTCAAAACCCTACTCGAACTAGGTCTTCTTCTCCGGATCAAACACCCACTCGACCAGTCCTATGTTTTACTAGGATTGTGAGCCTAGTCCTCTATTGAGCCGGATTCACTTCCGGGTTATTACCCTTGCCGAGACTACTTATCGCGTTAGGACTCGACTAGTAAATGTAATATAACCTAGCCGACCTAGGTTTAGGAGCCCACGTACTAAATGATCCAAGGCTCCCCTGTCGCCAGGCCTCCCGGGCCGAGAGTGGTTCTATACTCGGCCCAACATGTTAATTTGAGCCCAAACACTCTTACTTGAAGATATAATTTGCATCATATCCATCCCGTTTAAGAATATGTCAAGATAATTCAAATTAAAAGATAATCATGATAAAAACCATAATATTATCTTTTAACAAAAAATATTTTCACTTTTCCATCCGACGGCTGAGAACTATGTTTACTCTACGGTCTCGATTACACGGGCCGATGATGTAAATTTGGGTCCAAACATTGCCCCCCAGTTTCCTTGAACTTCGGCTCGTAAGCCGAATGATTAAGGAAATTAAGTATCTCCAGCCTAATCAGATGTACTTTTGACCGTCATCCCTTGCTGCTGTTTACTCACGGCTCCTTTCGACCAAAGAACAACTCATGGCCGAAGAATAAACAGTTATGAACCAGGGTCGAGAAGAATTGGAATTGGGGTCGAGGATAAATTTGGCCGAGGTCGAGAAGAGTCTTTTCTTGGCAGCTCGGCCTGCCTACATATATATGCATATCAAACCCATTGTCAGCAATCATGACTATATACATATATATATATATATATATATATATATATATAACCTCAAAACAGCAACCATGACTTATTCGGCCAAACTTTGACCCTAGCATCTTCCTGATTAAATGGTTTTGAAACTTGTCCCCACACTTTAACCATAGGCATGGTACTATTGATAGCAGCGAAAATAACTCTTCTCGGGTCGGCTTGTTTGTCGAGCTCGGCTAAAAACAAAATGACCAAAATTTTGCCGAGCACACCACTTGTTGCCCCTCTTATTTTCTTAAGTATCGGTCAAGGGCCGAATGGTTAAGAAAATAATTTATTATATATAATTATATTTTTAGCAAACGAAAAGAAAAGTGGCCGAAACGTAGTCAGGAGGAGGCCAACGATGCTTTATTCCAAGCCAAGATCTTTTTACATCAAAATTTTCACTTTGACATTTTCCAAAACCGAATAAAAGATCATCTCCCAATATTTCTGACTTGGTGAAATATTTTGCATTTTCGGCCGCCGAATGTGTGGAACAAGTATTATGCCCCCCAGGCATAATTTCGGCGTTTAATTCAAACAACTTAGCCGAATAGGATTTCTCCATATCGACTTTATCGCCAATAATCATATCAATTGGCGTAGATTCTTGGGCTAGGCCAATATCTCGGCCTCGTTCGTCATTGGAGCACTCCTCTGACGAATCATTTTCTGAGTCGATTTGTGGCTCAGAAACTTTAACTTTTTCTTCTAGGCCTACCACACTTCCAGTCTCGACCGAAAAAATAGGTGGCCTAGGTTTTTCTTCGTGGCCCGACCATATCTTCAGCCTCGACCGAAAAAATAGGTGGCCTTTGTTCTTCGGCCAAATTAACAATTTTCTTAGGCCGATGTCTGATTACGGCCGGAGCGAAAAATTGCCCCCCGGCCTTTGAGCCTAACCATTTTTCAAATGGAATTGATCTGTAATCAGAAACGTAAGGAAAATTTTCTTCATCTAGCCAGGCATTAAATCGAGCCCTGTCTTCATTTACCCATTGCCTTTGCAGGGTAACAGGAGCTTTTATTCTCAACATGCAAGCGAATGACTTTTGCATCTCTCCATGGCCACGAAGAACTTTTTCCACTTCCAAAGATCTTTTACATTCCTCATTGTGTTTTCTCAATTCCTCTAGGAGCTCGTACAATCGGCTACGTTGAGCCAGATTGGAATCTTGATATATCATATGAACTTCGTAGTATTAGCACTGGGTCCCACTGGGCGTGCCAAAATGTTGGTCCTAAAATCTACCAAGCCTACGTGGCGCGCAGGCCGAGTATTTTCTAAGCTAACTACGTCCTTCGGTGATTGCGGGGCGTGCCAACTCGTCGGCCGAG